CATGACAGTGGATGCAAAGGACGGAGAGCGAAACTGGGCACAAACATTGTTGCGTGCTTGAGACATTCTACAGGACGGCATGATGTATCAGAAACAATCCCGTGAGCAATAAGGAGGAGGGCGGTAAAAGATAAGGACATATTCTCTACGCTCCTCCGCCCGCATGTCCATTTTACCGCTATAGCGACATTTTCCCGTTAAATAATGTTTCTTACATCAGCTTCCTGCTCATCTCCACCTTCGCTATACTCTGTCCACATTTTTCCATCTTCACTGTACCAAAGATAAAACCCTTCAACAAGATCCCATTCATATCCTTGCATGGTGACTCTTGTGATCATCTGAACCTGGGTAAATATGAAAAAAACAGCGATTGAGTTCAATACATCACTAAAAAGAATTTTGACACTGTAGGTGCAGTTTTCCTACTTATGTCAGAACTCTGAAACGAATATTGCAGGTAGTGTGGGCTAAGAAAGATAAGTTTTTTCTGCTGCAATGGAGGGAGGGGGAGAGCAGAAAATGTTGGAGGCTACCCACGTCAAGAGAGAGTCACCAAGAATCCTAAACGCAAAGTCTTAATTATTCGCGTCAGTGTTTTTCAACTTCTTTCTTGAACAGCTTAATCACTTCTTTGCTATCGCCACCGCTGGGTTTAGTCTTTCAGCGGCCACTTTTTTAAAAAAAAACTTAAGAGTTCAATATAGCCCACATTTGTTTGTACCTCTAACCCTCCATCAAAACGTTATCAAAACTGAATCAGTATGATGGTTACGATAACATGAAATCATACCGAGACATACCGATCGTCTGACTCTCCAGGCTCTATTTTACAGATCTACTGAACTGAAAGCAAAGCAACTAAAGGAAAGACATACTTTCCCAAGGTCGATCTGTAGGTACTCGTCTTTGTCACTTTTGTCACTCGGTTTACCACACCAAGCCTTAGGTCCATTGAGACGAGCGTATTTAGGCAGCCACTCATCGCTGAGTGTAGATGAGGCAGTTATTTGTTTATCTGCAATGATACCAGTTGACATACCAAGGGAAAGGACACAATCTGGGGAATGAGAAAAAATAGCACCAGACAACTTTACCCATTACTACGCAAGTATCCAACACGATATTTCACTACTTTGTTAAGGTGCATACCCAACGTCACATGACCTTGTACAGTCATAATATTTGAGAGAAGTGCATAAAGTTATTAACAGATTTTAGAAATAAAATGCCTCTAAAATCAGATTAGTGCGCGAATAAAATCGAAACAAAAATTGTACAGTTGCCTCAGTCTCTGTCATAAATTATTATCTTGTGTTCTTGCACTATGCCTGTTTTGTATATGTTTACAAGAACAAGGGAGGTTGATTAGTTGCTTTACCAGCGTTTGCTGAACTCCGAAATTAAGCCCGCATGGCGAACTCACCTTGCTTCATGAACGTGACTTTGGTACGATCTTCGTCACACCCTTGCCACAAGCAAACCTCCACTCCCTCTCGAGGGTTACCACCATACAGATGAACACACATTCCAGTTGGTTTGTGTCTTAAGGAATGAGCTACGCGAGACAAAAAAATCCAGTGGCATTAGTGACAGACAGTGCCAAAATAATTGCCACAAAACTTATGTGTATGGCAGCAGAATGTGACCTGAGAGAACACGATTTTGTTAGCTTGTCTATGCGATTAATGTAGGTATTAACTGATTGTCTGGTATGACTGTCTCTGTAAAGATAGTCCTTAAATCAACCAAAAATTTCACATAGGGCTCGTTTAGCCAGAACGCTTGCGATATAGGTCTTTTTATGAGACCAAAATTATGAACACTCTAAGGATAATGAGGACAAACCAAGACTATTCCGTGAGGCATCTTCAGACAGACTTACCAGCAGTTCTTTCAAATTTAGAGTCCTGTGGCTGACATTTGCTGCTGATCATGAGCTCACAATTTTTACCACGAGCTGGCTTACGAGGGCACACTGGTCTGCCGCTGCAGTGATGTTTAAGGGTACCATCCGCCGATAGGGAGAACTGCATAAAAGGCTGATCGCAAGGTTTTATTTGAGTAAGGACGAGAATAGTGCCATCCTGTGGCCGACAGTTTCCTTGCTGCGGCTTAATGCACATTCCGCTCGCTTGAAGGAGAGGTGTGGGCGCAGCGGGTTGAGCTTCAAACGAAAAAAAAAAAGTTAATGAGAAAAAAACCCAGTTTTAGTTGAAGAACTAAAGAGAATTTAAACCTGGGACCTACATATTTTTAATCGAGCGCCCTCGACCATTTGGGCCTGGCCGCCTCAATGTTGAGATAACGTTAACCTTTTATTTTCTCTTTAACGTCTCACTCCCAAGATCTCATCAGCAATTCTCCTTACTGTCTGCCATACGATTCTCAGTACGTTAGTTTGGAGAATTTGGTATTGGATCAACTAATAATCCCTTAATTGATAACTTTCTTGATTCTCATCACTTGTCTGCTTGATATTGTATTGATATTGTAAGGAGAAATTCTGTCTTGGTCACTTATGAGAGTTAAAGGGTTAATCATATAGTAAGTCTATCTTGCCTTGTTCTCCTGAGCAGCCATAGAATTCTGTCTTAAGGCACATTCTTGAGTAGCTCCAGTACTGGGGATTTATTCTTAAGTACTGCGTCTCAATTGGTGGATTAAGTACAACATTTTTAGTTTGACCATAAGTCGTGGGTCCAACAAGAAGCTGAGATAGAAGTAAAACAAAAAGGACTCTACGTTTGCGCCGTCAGAGTTGTTTCTTTACATTGAAGTTACACTTTTATGACGCAGAACGGTTACAAGCTCAGAATATCTCAGAATAATGAGAGTTTCTTATAAGAAGACACTTGCCTGTCCTATACTGCGGCATGGATAACCGTCATGAATAAATGAATCCTCCGGGCACTAAAGCGTATAGAAAAATAATTACTGAGTGTAACTATTGATAAGTCGAATCCCTAATCCAATCTTGTCTTGAAAAAGTTGTCCCTTCAGTTTTCCGGATGCCCTCACTGCATGAACAATTTGATCGCTGTAAACATTCCGTTACATTGTCGGCTGGGAGAGGGTGATAAAATCGTTTTTGTGGGTTCCATGACATTAAAAAACTACCAAAAACCTGTCGTATGTTACACCAGAAAACGGTTTACTCTCGATTAACCGGATTAATAACCCACTTGGGATGTTGAGATAACTCGAGCTGGGGATTATCCTGATTTTTCCATTGCATACACGAGGAAAGAAAATTTGCCGTAAGCATATCGTTAGGTTACCCCGACAATTTTTTTCCGATTATCAATTTATGAGTACTCCTGAGTAGCGACGCGCATTGCAAGAATTAGGTGTCTTGCGTCTGCAGCAGTATGTAAAGAGAAACTATTTCATTACTGAATGAAGTTCCTATTTACAAAATGACTGGTATACTTAGTTCTGTCGAATATGCAATAACACTCTGTCTAGTTCATGCATGATCAGCTCAATTGTCGACTACTCACGTCTCCATTATCTCCCGGGCAATACTCCGGTACATCACAATCACCTTCACTCGGTCGACACAGGATTCCGTGTGGTTTAAACTGTCAGGTCGGAGAGATATTTGAAAATGAAACTTTTTCATATACAACTGAATAAACTACTTTGTGGGATAAAAATTTAATAGTTAGTCTCAATTCCTTGCTCGGACCTACAGTTTTCATCTCATAACCATTTTGATCTTTTTTGTAATATTATTTCCTAGCTCTTTACAGTTTTCCTTTGCCACGAGAAGATGTTAAACGTTCTTTTTAACCCTTTACACCCCAACATCAGTGTTCATATTCTCCATACTGTTCTCTATACATTTCCTAAGGTGCTGACAAGGAGAATTTATCTAATAATCTAGAGTTTCATTAGTTGGTGATCATTTCCTCTATTCTCATAACGTTAATGTGTGATTCAGTGGTGATATTGTAAGGAGAAATTAGATGTTAGTCATTCTAAGGGGTTAATAGAGCTCGCCAGGCTATCAGTTGAGACTTTTTGTAATTCAAGGGTACTTAATTTTGACTGCTTCACATTTCAAACTGGATGCTTTCAACCGCTGTGGGACGACTGTATGAAAAGTTTAAAAAGTTTTGTCGATGTTCGGATAGCCTCGACAGCGATTTTAATGATAAAAACTCACCACACAATCTTGACAGCAAGCGTGATTTAGTATACTGCACTGTGAGCCCGGCTTAAGTTTACAGCCTTTTGGTTGACAACACGGATCCAACTCCAGGCAATCCTAATGTAGAAATGAGAACAAACAAGTACAGATAAATAAATGAGCCGTCGAAAAGCACGTCCACCAAACTAGTGAAGCCTTCTGGCATTTTTGGTTTAACTAACTTGAGCGAGATTAATTCCATCAAGGGAAACACACGGTCATGTACAGGACTAAATCTGTTGAGAGAAAAAGGGTTTTGGTTGTCGTGACAACCAGTATAAACGCAAAACTTCTTTCACCTCTTCGGTTCCACAATCACATTCCTCTCCTTGTTCCACAAGTCCATTTCCACATCTCGGTCGTATTTCCTAAGAGAGGAAGAACTTAGTTCTGTGTGTTCATTTTTCTCATTTCAAAATCAGCTGAATGGAATCGTCCTTTTAAGAGACCATGGGTAACGATAGGTTGAGAATTTTCCTCTATTTTTTTTATTATTTTTTATTGTTGTTGTCGTTGTTGTTGTTTTTTTTTTACTATTTCCCATGTAGTCACAGAATTTCAAAATAACTTTTAAGTCATTTTAAAATTGTCTGACTTGCAAGTGGCCTTTAGAAGTTTATCACTATACTAATACCATTTTTAAATCTACTTCCCGGCTGGAAAATATTCACTGAGGCATTTTATAGGTTATTTTCAGGAAAACGTTCAATAATACCTTTCGTGACCAAAATGCCTCAAAGAATTTTGAATTATGACCACAACCGACCCTCAACTGCATTGCGTGACTCCCCTTAAAATGTATCTGTATCTGACCAATTTTAGCTCAAGACTGTCACTAAATTCACTCGCTTCTAAACAGATTCTGTCGTAATTCAAACAAGAAAATATTGAATGATAACTTTAAAAGAAATCCAAAACAACTGCTGTGTCGGTTTTCTTACAAAATGTTCAACAAAGACTTAGTAGTGGGTTATTTTAATTCACAGATATAACAATTCTTATCACACGCTCAAGCAAACATTCCTTCAATATCCGGAACCGTCGGGGTCCACTGTTATCAGAAATTTGTATACTCAGCCACCGTTGTGAGTGGCCTTGGTTTTGACTGAACAACAGAAGGAACATTATGCTCGGCAGAATTTTGCAACTTTTTTCCAATGGGCATTTACAAAACGAAGCTTCTTTGGGGAATATTTCACCGCGTTTAATCCTCAAGACGAAACAGAACTTAAGTGAAAATAAACCTCTTTGGTGTCACGCTTCATGACCCAGACGGCGTTGCGAATATGATGTGTTACTCTGGTATAAACTCTTGTATTTTCAGTCATGTCGTATTCAACGACTGATAATGTTATCATAGTTTATTAACTGTTTTTTTGTTATGAGTGTCAAGTTCACCTTAAGTTTGCAACAACATTTCTCGGCGTGATTTCTAGTAACAAAAGGTATTCAGTTAATTACAACAGAGTTTAGATATGGGGGATTCCTTTCATTGTTAAAATCTATTGAATCCATTGTTTTTTTATTTTGATTGGTTAGTTATGATTAAAAAGACAACATTATCGGTGGACATCAAAATTTAATGTGCTTTACGCAAATTAGTTTTTTTTGGTTGATAATAAAAAATCCGAGGCAGCCGGTGTAGCGCCATTCTAGTCAAGCCCTTCGAGCGAGCAGTTTAACGAACCTGCTGTGAGAAATAACTCTGTAGTCATGTCGAAGATCAGTGAAGACGAAATGAGCGAGTTCAGAGATGCTTTCACTTTGTTCGATCGCGTTGGAGATGGCAAAATTGATCCCGATCAAATTGAAGATATGCTTCGCGCCATGGGATTGAATCCACTAGGATCCGATCTTAAACAAGTGCGGGACGACTATAAGGATAAGAGAGTGGAATTTGAGGATTGGCTTGGAGTCTACACCCAGTTCAAAAGCAAACCAGAGCCAGTCAGGGAGGATTTCATAGAAGGATTCAAATGCTATGATCGCGATGGTTCAGGCACTATTGATGGGGCTTCGCTGAGAGGGCTGCTATGCCTGCGCGGAGACAGCAGACTGACAGAGGATGAAGCAAACGAGTTACTCGCCCCGGTGGAAGATACACAGAAAGGGGTGATAAACTACGAAGAAATCATCAAACTGGTAATGTCCAGGCCAGAGAAGATAGAATGAAAGAAGAAATTGAATAGGACTTTGCCATATTCATTTCTTCTCAAGAGTGCTTAAATTTTATAGACTTTGACGGACCTAGGAACTATGTCATTTAAAATAACGGTTAAAACGAATGTTTTATTTGCATTTTTTTCTCAAAAGAGTTTATAATTTTGGCTTTAAAGAAAGGTGGCAATCTTTGGACCGACAGTTTACGAAATATGGACATGTTTTCACGCTCTTAACATTATGTATTAGCATCTTCTGATTTTATTAACTCTGTTTTAATTGTTTCCTAATGAGTTCTTTACCGAGATAGTAAAAGTTTGAATAAATATATATATTTTAAGAGAACTCACTTTCACTATATTGCTTCACTTTATAAATAAGTTGTTTTGCTCATGATGTAATTTCTGCAGTCTCGATTACAGCGAACAATGGTCGGCTTTCAATAGCTGGGTGTGACTGACCAGCATTTTTATCACATACATTGAATGTTACCAAACTACAGCAAACTGTTAAGTTACGCTCTGATTTGACTGAATCATGTACTATCTGTGATGTGCATTTATGGTTTCACTTTATTGAAATTACTTTTAAACATGACAGAGATTTCGTCAGAGCGACAGACTGTTTGCTTGCAGATAGCAAACGGTTACGCTGCCGTGATCAAATATTGCCCCCGGGTATTCAATTATCACAAGTTCTCATTTGTAAAAATGATGTTTCTATAATGACACTAAGCGACTGTGAGACTAAAGCATAATTACAGATAAAATGGCTTTTGAGGGTACCAAAGAGATAACTTTATGGAACACTGCTTTTCATACCCGCTAATGTTGCGAACGCATACGGTACAGTGAGACTTTAGCGAGAAGAATTAGGACATTCAAAGATCAACAACAAACCGGAACTTGATAGCACGTTAACTTTGCCCTCTCTGATAACGAATCTTTTATTAAGTATACCTGCGGGAAAGGTTACGGGGGAGGGGAGGGAGGGCAGCGACTTGAACAGTGGTCGGAAATCGCTATTATCGAACCATTTTGGCAACTATTGGGTAACGCGATTGCTTGGTTTCAGTTCCATTCGTTTAAATGCTAACATTGAATGCTACCTCTAAGATTGATGAAAGTATATGAGAACTCCTGAAAGAGAGGCAGAAATGTTTTCAAATTTGTTTATGTAACTATAAGCTCACCGCTTGTGGACGATCGTACAAACAGAAGTCGTTCAGCTTTGCGAGACTTTTCATACTGCAGTCTGAGAATCCTGCAACGCGAGTCCTGTCCAGCAAATTTTGCAAGAATAGCATACTGTTAGCTTAAGCACTAAGTGTTTACGATTTCTTTTAATTTCGCAGTTAAGTGTCGGTTTGAGGTCTGGGTAAAGTAAATGCTACCGCCCCGCATTTTTTTTCTATTTTCCGTCTTTATCTCGAGTTAAGATACCAATCTAACACAGCTTTTATCGTTTACAAAGAACCGAAACAATTCTTTTTCCATGAAGAGAGAACGAAGCATAACAAGAACTTACTTGTGTCCTCCCATGATACAACCTCTAGGGGTCAGACAAGTACATCCACCAATTTCTAAGGCAAATAATTTCACACATAAACGTAGAGATGGTTAATTTGTGCAAAGCCATCAATGATAATTTTGGCCCACGTTTACCTGATAGATATTTCATATTCATTTCTTAAACAGCAGTTCACATATATGATTTTCATATATTTACAGTCAAAGACGTTTTATTTGTTAACGTGATCCAAATCTTTCTTGACCATTGTTATTTTCGTTCCTTACTCAGTTGCTTATTCAGCTAAAGTGCAGACTACTAGAATATATATTGCTTACTGACCTTCATCGTGTTCCATACCAAAGTTATGTCCCATCTCATGGGCTGAGGCTATCCAAGGTCCCACGGAGATATAATGGTCCCACTACAAGAAGGAAATTAATCAATGAATTGACCACGCACATGTGCACTCTTAAGTGAAGAGACCCAGCTCTACTGTACGGAATGATGTCAAAATGAGAGTTAAACCAAACGGTGTGCCCGATAAAGTTTATTACAAAAGTAAATTCGCCCTGACGAAGGGCTACTGCTCGAAATGTCAGCTTAATAAAATTTTTACCGTGGCCAACTTACATTATCAACTTAGTTAATGAAACCAAATTCTCATGGGATACCCCAACCCCCCCTCCCCTGCGGATGTAGCTGTACAGTTTCTTGAGAAAATTACCCCCTTCTTTCAAAATGAAAGACAGTTTATTACCGCAACTATTCCTGAAGAATCATCAGTGCACATGCCATATAGCGCGGCCATTCCTGCTGCGTCAGTCCAGCTGTTGTTGCTGCAACGAGAAACAGCGAACTTGGTACGGCGTTTTAATCACATTTTGAGTTATTCAAGGTTAATTTCGGCAAAAGTATATTCATACATACATACATACATTCTTGTTTGCAAACGATAGAGAATCCAGCAGAAATTATACTCACCACATTAACTGTGCATTATCATGATCAGGGAAGGTTTTCTTCAGTATGTTCTTTCGATATTTTGCGAATCTGTCATAGTACACCGAGGCTGTTTCATTTCTGTCTATTTTGTCTCCATTGTTCCAGAATTCCAGTGCAACCAACACCACTCTGATGTTTATTTTGCTATAAATCTGAAAAGAATTCCTCTCGTGATTAAGAGCGCTCATTATGATTTTTATTTTTCTGTCAAAAAACGTAGATACACAGTGGGAAGAGGTAAAGATAAGGCTGTTACAAACTTTGACTAATGACAACATTTTCATATTGGTGAGTTCTGACTAAGATTTACACCAGCTTGTTCCAGAGTTTCAGTCAATAAAACGGGGTGAAACAGTGAATGGCACGATGGTGGCGTCAGAGCAAAAAAGTGGAAGGGGAGGGGAGGGTTACGTAGTTCATTTACATACTTTATCCACAGCATTTACTAAAGTTATCATACGGTTGGTTACTTCTTCCTCTTCGTTTCCAAAATAATTGTACTGTTAAAAAAACAAAACAAAAAAATACAAATCATTATGTTGAGCTTTTATCTCTCGGCTGCGGCAGTGGCACAGCAGTGTTCCAGGAGATATGAAACATGAAAAGACAACATTTTCATATCTCACCAAATTTTTGTCCACGGCTATCATAAGCTCTGTGTATCTGGTCTCCGCCGTAGTGAAATAAGGACGATAGAATTCGTCAATTCCACGACGAACCTGATGATTTAAAAATTGTACAAAAACAAAAAACATAACATAGCTTGTGTGTTGATTAAATTTTAATTTTTGATACCATTTTGATCATCAATCAAAATCCAGTATAGCTCATGTTTATACATCAAATAACTACGATTACCCTTTGAGTTGATCGGTTACCACTATGATCATAATCCCATGATTTTTTCCCGATGGCTTTTAAGTTCTTCGGGTGAGATGTGCCTACGATGGAAAAATCGCATAGTGCGGTGTAAAGTTTGGCTATATGGTTTTTTTTAAATGTATTCTTACAGTTCACCTTTCGTTATTGATAATGTCACTGTCGCTGTAATGGTGGTGGTTGTTGTCGGCGAGAATCTCTTCGATTACCTGTCCTACTTAACTTTATCAACGTCGTCTAACTTGGGGCCATTCCTTCCAATTGAGGCTAAGTGCTCACCATATCGCTGATCGATTATCTGTTAGAATAGTTCAAAGTTCTTTATCTGTGGTTGATGAAATCAGTTATAGTTCTTACTTACTGCAATAAACTTTGTCCTCCTTACTGCGGGGCTTTGTCCGGTAAATCTTGTGTGCTCTGTCTGACTAATGATGAAAAAATGAGAGACATGCACATTGAAAACAAACACAAGAAAATGAGACAACTCTAGAGAGCGTGAGCTCATGGTAATGGCTACAGCTTTTAAAAGGTCTCTCGGGCAACATCAATGTTACATCACAAGATAAATTTCTTGTTTATTTCTGGAACTTCAGCTTCGTATTTAAGGGCTATAAACGTTAGCCCAAAAATGATAAATTTGAGTCGTAGCCTCTTCGTTCCTCTTCTCAAAAAGACTCAGTTCATCCAGTCGCAGTTTGAAACACCTCCATACTGTCACATCAACATTTAAGACGTAAGAAAGATTTTCATCACGGGGCTCGTTCGCTACCGTGTAATTAGAATTTGTGAGGCCTTCCAAGCTGTTATGTTATAGATTGTCCCTTTTTCTTGACAAAGAGGAGAGTGACATGTGTTCTTAGATTCTCCTCCCTTAGATACGCCCTTAAACATGTCTTATTTCTGCATACCGCCTTATGTTTACATGACTGCATGGCATACCTCAGACGTTGCGGGTTCCACGTATAGTCTTTGCTTTCCATCGTCAATATAACCCCTGCCGTTTAACAGAGAGAACTTTTCTATCCCACAATGAATCTTCTGATAACCTCAAATACTGTGATTGAATGGGCCTAAAATTAAACTTGGCAAAGGACATTGAAACAATTTCAAGCCGGTAAAAATTACCTTAATCCAGTACAAGTGCTGATTACGGCTATGGATTCTTCGTTGCCTCGGATTTTCCCATGGTAATGGCAGTTTTCCGGCCTTAACTATAAGATATGAATAAGCGACCAACATGAAATCAATTCAGTTGGGTACAAAAGTATCCCCGGGTCTCCCGGGCGTCTTTCTCATAAGAAGAGTAACGTAATCTTTCTCCTCCAATCATCTCTCTTCATGATCTCCCAGGGGTGGGGGAAGTGGCAGGGGAAAGCGGGAGGAGAGGGAAGAGGGGAGGGAAGCAAGGAAGAGGGACAGGAAATGCCATGAGGCAAAGCTATGTATTCAGTCTTAACACAGTTTATGCAGGGTACTTTTTTCGGAGTATACTCATGGTAAGACATCTTGACATTTTCTAATGGTACTTGTGTTAAGCTTCCCTACCGTTTTCATCACGGGTGTACCGTTCTTCTCAAAGGATCTAATCATAAACGAACGAGGTACAAGTTCCCTGTAAAGAAAAATGTCAGAAAAATCAGCCTCACTTTAATGTTTTTATTGTGGCCATTTGTCGACACTTGACACAAGTTTATTTGCGGTAAGAGAACATAAGACTAGTTTGGGAATGAGCCTGTTTTTGCCCAGAATGCGGGAAAACAGGGTAGACCTAGTCGTGATTGGTTTTAGTTTTGCATCTGATTGGTTGAGAGGGTATTACGAGTTTTCTGGACCAATCATAGAGCGAAATAAAGCCAAATCAAAGCAACCCCGGATGTAATAAATTTCTCTACAACAAACTGCTATTAATACGAATCACAGTGGAGGGAGTACAGTTACAATCCCGAGACGAATGTATCATTGATCATTTAACTCACTTGTTTTGATGCAGATCAACAATGTGCTCACCACTGTGTGATGGGATGACGAAGCTCACCTCCCTCATGTGATCTTCCTGTGCAAGTCATAAAAATCATTAGTAAAACTGTGTTGCCTTGGATACCCACGAATCGTTACTAATCGAATCAGAGCCTAATTTCTCATATTGTGGTGGTCCTGAATAGGACACAGAGATCTTGGGATGTTTGTTTGAAGTTCATCCATACTTGTTTCTTGTGAGGGTTAACGTGGTAAGCGCTTAGTAAGCGTGCAAGGACCTTCACCCGTAACCCAGGCGTCATTCGCCATTCGCTTTTCTTGGGAGCAAGACACAAATTGTTCGTTAACATACTCACGTTCTCTTTAGTAGATACGCATTCTCTGGTATCACCATTTCTCAAAATTCTTTTGGGATATACCAGTTTTGTACTGCTAGGGTCCATTTCCTCTCCGGGAATCTTAAACCTCTCGCCTTCAGACTCTATCAGTTAAACGTATTCACACTTTTACTCCTGAGATCTCGATCTTAATTCTCCTCACTTCCAGCGATACATTTCTTATCATGTTGCCTCTGAGAATTTAGTGTCAAATCAGACAATGCAACATCCCGTGGTTGGTTTTTCCTTCATTCTTATCACCTGTTTGCAGGAAAATGTCTTGTTGATCATACCTGGGACTATAAGGCGATCGCGTTCATCAGGAAAAAAAAACCTGATCGCAATTTGGGTAAGGCCAAGACTCTTGGTATTACCGGGTAACCTGCTAAAAAAAACCTGGTTTCGAAATTCAGCTTCATTTTTTGGTGGGAAAGTAGTTAACATGTGTTTAGAAACTGAAAACGAAATTTAAAAAAATGCAGTCAATTTTGAACCGAGGATATACTGTACTAAAAAAGATATATTCAAATAGCTACCAATCACTGTTGAGCGTACCTGTGATGATGCAAATAATCAGCAGAAGAATTCCACAAATGCACGCCGCGGCGTTCAACCAAGTCATGTTTCCGTTCCTACCCTAAGCAGGGGAGAAATAAACGTCCAGAAAATTGTTACAATGGGAAAGTGAGGAAAGTGTTTTCATTCAGTTAAATTTCGAGGGATTCCAGAGTTGATCGATGTTGTTCATTTTATAATAGTCACTATGGCCGTTGCAATTTATTATTTCCCTGAGTACATGGAATAACTGAACTGCAGCTGCAGGCGGAATTGGTTTCAACAGACGCAATTTAACTCTTCACACCCTAACTTAGTATGCATATTCTTCAAACTGTTCTCTCTACATTTCTTAAGATGCTGACAAAGAGAATTTGTTAGGCAATCAAGAGCTTCTTTATTTTTGGTGATTCGTTTCCTTTAATCTCGAGAACTCTATGTGTGATTCGTGGGTGATATTTTAAGGAGTAATTAGATGTTAAGAAGAGTTTTAACACTAGCTTGATGTTTTAGGTCACTCAGGAGTCACACCTAATTCCGTGGAAAAAAATCTTATTTGTACCCAACTCTTTCCGATGTCTTCCCGATATTTTATTTGGTAAAATGTGACATTTGTTTGGTGATTTTGAATTTGTTCCCGCTGAGTCTTGTAGGTCGGACTCATCATTGTTCGTAACTCGGTTTATTTTGGTCTTTAGTTTAAAAAGTGTTTGAAAGGAAGCTGACAGCTTATCAAGTGTTCGATGTTGCCTTCACTGAAAAACGATCTCATTTATTACTTCAGCAAGGAGAGTTACAATCAATATCACTTACCAGAGGCGTGGATGTTTGCTATCTGGTGATCCCAGTCTTTTCAACAACGAGTTTTATAAGTCAGCAGCCTGTAAACGTTTCGTCAACTAATAGTTCTCCAAATTACGTTCTGTGCCACGAGTAGTGTAACAATTAAGTTAAATGATGAACAAATACGCAATCGAACCAATCATTTATATCCAACAATTAAATTAAATGGATTATAATAACCTATTAAACAACCAACTTGATTGGTCGACAACCGTGTCATTAGAAAGCAGGTTAGGGTATGTTGCATTCTCTTTAATTAGTTCCGAAGTCTTGACAATACGTTAAACTGAAATTTGTAAAATACTTAATTTGTGCATATGGTGACAATTTGGTGTCCAGAAGCGACCAGATAACAATTAGAATTACAGCGTACACTACCTTTATACACAACACGCTTGGTTGAACTCAATTATGTCGCCGTCAAATGTGTTAGTGGCAATATTGTGAATAGAACAGGTCGCATATTGCTCGGCTGTTTTGAACAATATGCTCCCTGTTTCCAAATATTAAAGAGTTAATTATTTTTAAAAGTAACATGTACTTTATGATCGCAATTGTACTATACAAGTTCTTTTAATTTACAATTTTTTTCCCACTTCCCATCTTTTACTCGAGTCAAGATAACAATCTTTACTAACAGAGTTTCCTATCTTCAACTCTTATCGTTTATAAAGAAGTGCAAATAATTACCTCCATCCAAAAATAACCAAAACCCTTCTGCTAAAAAATAAAGTATATTTCAATCAACAAATAACTGTCATCATCGATTATCATAACTATGCGCTCCTAAGGACTGAGAATCTTGTTTGTTCCAGATATTCAATAACTTCTTTTGACTGTTAACACTCAAGTTTTATCCTTGAATACATATGGAATTTTTTCCACATCTGTGAGCTCTGAATTTTTTTGTAACATTTAAGGGCTAAGGTGAGGTACCTCCTGCTCAGCCAGTCAAGCGATATCAATAACTAAACTGGATGTGCCGGCAAAAACACTATGGTGGTATGTGGACATATTTTATCCTAAGCATACCCCTCAATCAGCCTTATTTGCTCGTACATCCCCGTTGTTTGCAAGACCCTTACTGTTAAGACATTCCAGAAAATCGCTGTATGGTCTCTACAAGTTCTTCCAGTTTCTTTATCCTGACAACTATCATGTCAGTTTTCTTTATCATGAGTCGTACAGCAGTCTTAAGGTAAATGGATGCGCGCGCGTTTGTTCGAGTTTATGACGTAGAACAGATGTTTCCAGGATACTTGCTGTATGTGTTCGCTCCCCGCGCAAAGCTACATGAGAAAATCTGTTTAACAGAAACGTTGCTGAGTCTTACAAACTCAAGGACCATGGCGACGAGAAAGATTCTACGCAAGGACGAGCAACTTTTAAACAAACTTAACTCAATTCTAGTTATGTACAAGAATTTCCAACATAGTGCCGATGAACGAGATAAACTTATCATCATAGAGGCATTGGTTGATCTGCGCGAGATCCTGAGAAGAACATACATCTCAAAACCTTTAAAAGCAAATGACGTGTCAGAGATTGAGCTGATTTTAAAAGATCTGAACAGTCACGTGAAAGCAATGGCGCTAGACGAATTGTTTGATGAAATAAATGACATAAAAGGCAGATTGGATCTAGTAGAGAAACGGTTCGAACTAGAAGATACTAGAAGACATCCAAAGATGTATTTTCGCGATGAGGGTGAGTTGTAGCCTCATCATTGTTATCATAAAATGCTTTACATATTCAATGTTAAGTCACTCCTACTATCACTGGCTTCCTAATTATTTTGTCATCGAGATTCTGAGTTACTCCGAGGTACAAGCTACCACTCATATTTCTCAGCATGGTAATAAAATACAGAGTGACGGACTGGTTGAATGAACGTCCGTCAAAACGACCGACAAACCTATTGAGTAACTGACTGAACAAAGGATTGACTGAATGACTGATTGAAGGACTGACTAAACACTCGACCCACCGATCCACAGACTGACGGTTGATGGACTGCGCGAGTGACTAACCGCAGACCAACTATCTGTCTGACTGTATGACTAATTGACTGACCGACTTATTGACTCACTGACTGACCGATTGTGTCCGACTGTCTGACTGACTGATAGACTGACTGTCTGTCTGTCTGACTGAGTTATTGACTGACTGTCTGTCTGTCTGACTGAGTTATTGACTAACTGATTGATTGACTGACTCATTGACTGACTGACTGACTGATTGACTGATTATTTGTCTGACTGACTTATTGACTGACTGACCGACAATCTGTCCGACTGTCTGACTAACTAATGAGTGACCATCTATCTATCTGTCTGTCAGTCTGTGTGACTGACTTATTGACTGACTGACCGACTGCCTGATTTACTTATCGACTGCACCAGCTTGTGTATGAAAAATTAAATGGTATGCGTATTGTTAACTCTTTTTACACGCTATAGTTACTGAACGTTGCAATTCAAACGTACTCAATGTAACAATTAAAAAAATGTGCTCAAGCATGTGGCTAGATTTCTTTTTTGTCCTTTCATTTCGTATACACAGATGAAGATGAAATATGGAGCAGAGTTAGTGCTATGAGGAAAGAAAAACTTGGCCAATCAAGTTTAGTGTTAAGATCTAAACTCCCACCACACATGCGCAAAGTGAGGTTTAATTTACCAGGCTCACATGTTCGTGAGGAAGCTGGGTCAGATAAGGAGAGTGCCGCAGAAGAAAACAGGCCAGAAGCGTCTGATTGGATACCAAGACACGTCCAATCAACCAAGCGATTGCCTCACAATAGAATTAACAATGTCCATGGGCTTACAAGCCAAAGGAGAACACGATTTCGACCGGCAAAGAGACGTGACATGTCGGCAAATTACACAGCTTCTCTGGAAAACGAGAAGGAAATGCAAAGTGCTCGTAGCACGGCTGTGCACCATGAAAATATTGCTACAACCACAACCGTTGCTAAATGCGATGACGACGACAACAAACAGAAAAAGTCTAACAATGAGGCACTTCTCCGTTGTGGAGATTGCCAGAGGATTTTAAAAGAAAGAGACAAGTTTTGGGGTTTGGAGTCTGATTCAGAAGAGGAAGACATCAAAGATTTTAATGAGCATGTACGACGTCGTAGTCTGAGACTAGATTCAAGATCTTTTAAGAACGTAAAAGAAAAAGCAGTAGATAACGGTAGGTCTTACGAGGGAAAAAGAATCGCTGGGCGTGGTACCTGGGCCACCCCAGCTTATGTGCCTCCTTGGGATTTAAGGAGAGCTTCCAGCACAAGGAACTCTTCGATGATAGAGAAAGGATGGTTTGGTGACAGGAAAGGTATTTAGATTATCATAGCTCTTTGACTGTTTTCTTAGCGTCAATGAAACAGGCTGAAAACTGAAATCGAATTCGGAGCGAATTTTAGCTACGCCCTTGTTCGTCAAGAACACGCTGATTTCAGTTTTCCTTTCTTTGTGTCATCTCATTAATTGGGTGAGAAATAATCTATGTTATCATATGGCTCGTGCGACCCCGCGTGTGCAATCTCACAGAAAACCGTAATGGAAACTGACGTGTGTAGGGCTGGACGGGTTGATGTGAACTGATCAGGAAAAAGCTGTCTGGCCAAGCACTCACTCGCCTTTGTCGCAAAAACTTGAGGGAAAAAAAGAAAAGAGAAAAAAAGTCGTGTTTTTCGACGAATTGTGTGTTTTATTGTTCCGACTCGAAAAGACATAGGAAAGCGTTTTTTATTATCGAATCTTTTTCGTGGTTGTCCCGCAAGCGCCCGTCTATCGCATACTACCTAGGCTAAAACAAAATTTCTAAATTTTCAACATTAGTGGTCAAGTGACAAAATGTTCATTTACTGTTCGGGCCAGACGTGTGTAAGGCCAGATTGGTTGACGTGAGCCGCTCCGGAAAAAGCCGTCCGGCCCTGCACTCATAAGGCTTTGCCGCAAAAATTTAAAGGAAAAAAACAAAAGAGTAAACAAAAGGTCTGTCATGGCGCACGGACCTCGCTGTCCTCGGTCCGTACGTCAAGAGACGTCGAGCCAAATATTTTCCCGTCTGGCCCTCCCATTCAGTCAAAAAGTACATATTATGTCGAGCCGATCAAATAGTGTAACTCACTCTTGTTGATGTTGGTCCAGAAATTCTTGTCATCTTACCTAGCTCCTTGATCCCTCAACCACTCACCTTCCCCCCACATTCAACTCGCGCTTGTTTCATGCTGTCTTGTGGAAGACACAGACTCAATTACGGACTAAAAGAAGCCGTGAGAAATACTAACCCTGCTAACAATAGGAATAAAGATTTTCTGTATCTTAGACTGCGAAAAGAGTAGTCGTTCACAGACCTAAGATCATCGTCAAGGGAACGTAAGGGGTTTGGAAAGGGATGAGGAGAGAAGGGACGGGTGGGAGACGTCCATTGAAGTCCACAGACTTTCCACGTGCTTTTCTTCCGCTTCATTACTGCTCTTAAAGCCGGCGACACACCTGGTGATTATCGTCGATCGCCGCGATCGGCAATTAAAATCGCCAGGTGTGTCGCCGGCTTTACGCGCTTACTTCACAACAATATTTGTATGCAGATTATGAAACAATCGTAGCTTCTATCTAATATATCAGTGTTGCAATTTGAAACTGGAAATATAAAACCTGCAATATTTAAAACTGGATTTTTATGTTCTTTGCAGGAATTGTAAAGAAGTTATTTACTCGCCTGAAAGGTCGCCATCATTGATCTCAGGAGTCTGCACTTAGTTCAGTTCGAATCTTCGTCTTAATTCTGTTTAACTCTCCTTGATACAGTTAGCTTTATTGTTCAGTTCCAGCTTGAAAGCACTTTGCATAATAATTTATCCTTAACTGAAATGTCATTTGCTGTTCCCTTGATGGTAAGCGTTTTTGTTCTTAATTTAAAAGCGATGACGCATAACTCCTTCAATGAATGTTGCATACTTGTTGCACACTGTTCGCGCTCTCTTCACTACACGGATGTGTGCGCACACAAGAAAGACGATATAATGATTTAAAACATCATTAAATGAACGCCTGTTTTAAGGCATTGAGTTATACGCGTGCGCTTAGTAACAAATAAAAGGCAGCAGCTCACGTGCTAATATATGTGCACGTGCGGTCAGTAACAGATATTACGCAAAAGCTCACGCGCCAGTAAGTGTGCGCGAGCGATCAGTAACAGATGTAATAGAGCAGCTGACGCATTAGTGAGTGTGTGCGTGTGATCAGTACCAGATATCACACAACAGCTCACGCGCTAGTAAGTGTACCCTTGCAGCATGAGAACGCGGGGTCTTTGTCTTCCTTTTGTGTGCGCCGACAAACGCACGTTAAGACCTTGCCTTCTTCTGAGTATTTCGCTAAAACCCGCCTGTTTCACGTCGTCGTTTCTATAAACTGATACTGTATTCACGTTGACTAATTTGCTGGATCTTCGTCAAATACTGCATCCCGAGATCAAAGTTTCACACTTGACGCCAGCCGCCTCTGATCACGATATATGTCAGTTCGCAGATTCTGGCCATTTTATTGTTTGCCCTTTCTGACGCCGAGTTCGGCAGATCAATCAACCCTTCAGCGTCTGTGGGCTTTACTGGTCATGACTTCTGTTAGATTTGGTGGCTCCTAGGGAAAACTGTTCATAAAAAAAAGGCGTGCTTTGGCTGGGTGAAGGTCAATGATTGTTGTGTATGCTGCTTTAAAAATATTTGAACTACAGATTTTTAGCTTTGCTTTGGATAAAACTTGCCCCAGTGGTGTTTTATTTTTCGAAATATGAAGGGAAATTAGCACAACTATAAACGCGGCCATTTTCTTTAAGCTGTCTTCACGGTGGTCCGTATTATTTCCATATATATTTTCCAGCACATCGAAGTTCACCATTCGTGTCTTCAATTCGAGGAAGGAAGAGTTAAATTTTCATGATGTCTGGAGCAGCAAAGTCCCCCGCTAAAAAGAAGCTAGTTGTGCCTAAGAAGCCAGTCGAACATCCATCTTATTTTGAGATGACCAAGGCTGCCATCCAAGCGCTGAAAGAGAGAAACGGTTCCTCCCGCCAAGCCATTGAGAAGTATATCAAAGCCAACTACAAGGTTGGTGAGGTCAGCTCACATTTGAAGATGGCTTTGAAGAGGGGCGCTGAAAGTGGAAAACTCCTCCAAACTAAGGGAGTTGGTGCTTCGGGATCCTTCAAGCTGCCTAAGGAAGAAAAGAAGGACAAGAAACCGATAAAGAAGCCAGCTGCAAAGAGGGAGCCTGTTGCCAAACCAAAGAAATCCTCCGCCAAGAAGTCAGCAAAGAAACCAGCGGTTAAGAAGCCAGAAGCGAAAAAAACCTCAGCTAAGAAGCCAGTAGCAAAGAAACTCGCGGACAAAAAACCGACAGCAAAGAAACCCGCAGCCAAGAAGCCCGCTAAGAAAAGTCCCACTAAAAAGCCCACCAAGAAATCGGCAGCCAAGAAAGCCTAAGGAGTGTTGGCTGCTTATCATTAACAAAACGGTTCCTTTAGGAGCCACCAAATGTAATAAAAGAAATAACCAACTGTGCAATTTTCGAAAGTAAGTTTAACTGCCCTTCTTGCCTGTATCTTCTGTTTACCTTTCGAGAGCCATTCCTTTATAAAGGTGCTGGTTTTGCTTTGCCAATATCAATACATTATATGCCTCGGCAGATGCCTGACGAAGACTAGACTAGCAGTTGCAGACTAGCACTATAGCAGTTGAAACT